CGACTTTTTGTAGACTCACTATCGAGCTACTGGACTGCCAGGACCTACGAAGGTTGAACAGCCACCTACAGCCTAGACGCACCTGGACAGAAAACCGACCTAAAGGAACTCCAAACCTTCCTACAACTGGGAGGGCAGTAGGATAGAAGAAGACAAAAGGAACAGTCCACGTATCAGTCTAGATTCAATAACTCCCATCTGTTCAGTACTCAAAATATTGCCGGCAGCTGGTTGGTGGGAACGAGAAGTATGGGATATGTTTGGTGTGTATTTTTCCAACCATCCTGATTTACGTCATATATTAACAGATTATGGTTTTGAGGGTCATCCGTTACGAAAAGACTTTCCCTTAAGTGGATATGTGGAAGTACGATACAATGATTCAGAGTCGTATCAGTCTAGATTCAGTCCATGATTTCTGTAGGTTGCTGTCCTGGCAGGATACTACCTGATAGAGACCCGGCAGGGTCGAGTAAGGCAGTTGCCACTCAGCTGGACAACTAGGAGTTTTGTGCAGGTGCTGCTGCAACTGGTACGGGGCCAGACAAAGCTCTAGTGGGCCATGAAGGAAGGTAGGAGGCTGCGCTCAGTGTGGGGAGCTTCTTGCCACATCATCTGTTGTCTGAAAAAAGAGCCAACTACCTGTAGCCAAAATGAGTTTCGAATAGGCAAAAAAAAAAAAAAAAAAAAAAGCATGTACAGGCAGGGCACTCACACGGCAAGTTTGAAAAGGCGATAAAAAAGGCGTGACAGTTTCTAATGAGCACAGATGTCATAACTATAGGAGCGGGCAGTGGTATGCAGAGGGCCTGAGTGAAAAAAAAAGAAAGAGAAGAAAAAGTCGACCCAAAAAAAAAAGTTAAAAAAAAAACGACAAAAATGCTGTTTTTGCTTATTTTCCGCATTCCAAACTGCCGCCGCGACCAAACTGCATTTAGTGTTCTTTTTTCGCCTATTTGGAACCTTGACTGAGACGTTGTTGTTTCTATAAAAAAAAATATCAAGCCTATTGTGAGCATCCTACCAAGTGTCCTACCACCCCAGGGTTTTAGGTATGCTTGTGATTCCTGAGACACCATCTACTGGTGGTGGGCAGCACCTGCTGGCAACTGTGGCCAGGGTCCCATCAGATTACGAACTCGTCTACACAATCACCAAAACTGGGACTTGGGACTTTATCTTTCCACCCAGGCCATACCTTTGTATAACTCCGCAGGAGTTCCATACACTTTATTAAAAGAAAAAAAAAGTTAGGCCGTTGTAACGGCGTCGTTGGAAGTATTTATTATTAAGTTATATTAATATTATCATGTTTTTTAATGCAAGTACTGCAATGTAGACCGTAAACATTGACACTGGCATGTCATTTCAATGCACTGCCAGGATGGAAATTGTGAGGTGTATGTACCAGTGAATGGACAGCCAACACTGGTGACAAAATACGGCCCAGGTGATGCGTTTGGCGAGTTGGCTCTGCTGTATAATGCCCCTCGAGCAGCAACTGTGAAGGTGCGTTTCTCATACGTGAAATGTGATCAAATATCTTTGTTCTGTTCTTTTCCCATGGTTACCATGCAAACTTTCCTGACGACCATTCAGACCATCCGGATGTCAGGGTCCGGACGGCGGATGCTGCCCAGATTAATTAAAAAATACGAACTTACGAAGTTAATAATTTTGGAAAATTCTGACTCTTGCCGGTTGAAAAAGAAAAGCTTTTGAAAAAAAATCTGGAAACAAAAATGTTATGGTCCTTGTGGGAGTTACGCAGCATTGCAATGCATGAGTGCTATCTAAGTGTCTCCACAATCTCCTGAACGCAAAGCACCCTCATCAACACAATACTAGCTTTTAGTGGGCTGTGGGGGTACGGCCGGCGCCGAGTTCTTGCTTTTCTTTCTGTTCCGTCCATTGGATTTTGAACTGAGTGGCCGCGATCACTGTTAGAGCTCGATTTCTAACGGAATGTCGCCCACTTAGACTGTCCACACATAATTGTTTTGCCGCTCCTTGCTTCGTGGTCATCTGGATGACCAATGTGAATTCTTGCTATCTAACGAGGTCAGTCGCACTACCCTCACCAAGTGTGCAAAATGAGAACGTGGAAAGATGCGTCACCAAAAAAAATTGTCTTTCGTGCATGTGGTGAGTGCGGGAGCGAGGCCCTTTTCCTGGCAGACACACCAGCCATGTGGCCTCATGAGAGCCCGGGCCAGCGGTGGCACCGCCCCAACCCGCAGTGGGAGAAGAGTCCTGCTTTTTGCTCTGCGTGGCCCCCCTTTTCTTTTCGGCGGCGCACGGCAAGCGTGAAGAAAAGAAGTCCGACACTGCCGCGCCAAAAATCCAACGGTGCCAAAGAGGAAATGGAGAGGCTACATGGGACCAACGGGCCCGATCACTTGGTACACCTATGGACTGTTGGAATACGGGCTTGAGCTTGAGCTCGAGTTGGGCAAGCTCAAGTTGGGCGTCGCGTGTGGCCTTCAACAAAAAGAAATGCTCGCCAATAGGACACCCATGAACTGTCAAAATACGGACCTATGCTCAAATCCCATCAAAATGAGGCCCATACCTGTATGTTTTAACGTGACGACTGTTAAAGTACAGACCTCTGCTCAAATCCTATCAAAATGAGGCCCGTACCTGCAAAGATGACACCTCAATGCCATCACCCCAGGTTTCGGTTCCACAGCAGCGGCGCAACACTCAATTGGAAGCACACAGCACGCACGCAAGCTTTCACCGCTCGCACACATGCACCAGCACTAGCACCCACACAAACGCACATGCGCATGCACGAATAGGCATGCGACCATGGAAACAGCTATACACAGCTAAACACACACACACACACACACACACACACACACACACACACACACACACACACACACACACACACACACACACACACACCACCTTCAGCACCACTATCGCAGCCGCCGTCGCTGCCACATCATCGTCATCAACCTCAACATCATCATCACCATCATCACATTCATGGTCGGATCAGCTACAACAAAGGCCCAGTCGGCGGACGCGTACGACATTGGACCAACCATTGCAGATGCCTCTTCGGCGGGTCCATTCTCCGTCTCCACCGCCGTCCCCAAGACAGCGGCCTCGTCTAGCCGTGAACGGCTTGATCACCGCGCCTCCAACGGCTA